GACTTAGGTGGGATAGTAATCTCTGTTGGGAGCGAGTTTCTTCAGAGTAGATAGAGCAATCAGGCTGATATCTGCGCCCGTGTCGAAGAGTACGGGTCGAGTGGTTCCGTACACACATAGGTCACTACCACCATAGATACTCTATGGTTTGAGCGATTAGATACTGGCGGAACAGTAGAGGCCATGGCTCGAAAGGGAACGTCGACATCGCTAGATGTTACAGGCTCTATGCATAGTCCATCATAGGCGTTATCCTCATGGATGACGTTCGCACCAGCTCCAGAAGGGATAACCGTAGAGTTAGATGGGGGTGTTTGAGGAGGATTAATCTTTTTAGATTTCCCCTTACCAAAGTCTTTCTTAGGCTTAGGTCCCACCTTCTTCGGTTGATCTGCTGGTGTAGGAGCAGTACAGACATACGCTAGATGTCCCTTCTTCAGGCAACGTTGGCAGAATAACCTGTTGACTGGGACCTTGCAGTCTGTCTCTTGATGCTCTGGATTGCCGCACTTAGAGCATCTTTTCTGTAGATCGACCACCTTGGGCTCAGTACAGAGTCGAGCTGGGTGACCGCTCTGGAGGCACCGATAGCACTTTATAGATAAGGCATCGCTGCCAACGGCATGGCAATAGGTCTCTTCTTGAGGATCGTCTTCACACTCGATGACATGTAGACGACCTGTCGATCTACCACTGGGCTTGTTGACCGTAGATGAGCGTTGGAGTCGGCCCTGACGCCTCCTCTCATGCTCTGACAGTCGATCCACAAATTTCTTATATGATATTTTGTGGTTGCCCACCTTGGTCTCGACCTTCTCCTTCAGATCGTTAGATGATAGACCATCATACAGACGCCGTTTGAGGGTAGACTCTCTCGGCCCAGCTCGTAGATATACCAGCTCGTCAGCTAGAGTTTCTAGCCTCGATATGAACTGGAATAATGTCTCGCTAGATCGCTGGGTACAAGTGTTGAATTTGTACTCGGCTCGAGACAAAGCCTCATCCGTGTCGAAAGTTTTGCGTAGTTTACGACAAAGTCGACGTAGATG